AATCTCTTCCCAAAAGAAATCGATTACTGTTTGAATAGAGAATTTGGCTAGATAGTGTAACATCATGCACAAGTGCAAAACACAATATAAAAATGCTTTTTTGGGAAAGAAAAAGAGGCTGGGTTAGAGTTTGAAAACTCGAGACGGGGGTGTCAGGGACAGAGCAAAAGCAAATTAATCACGGGATGATTTCCATCCAAACAAGATTCCTCTGACGATAAAAGGAAAGAAAGTTCTTAAACAACCAAAATACTATTCTAGGGTCATATGCATGACAGACATAGCATTACAACTAAACGTTTAACTCAATGGGGAAAAAAATTAAGTTCTAGCCACAGGCAACACTAGGTTCTTAACCTTGTTATAATAATAGAAGTTGTCTTTTTAAGCGATTTAGTGAAGTATTTTCTTTATTTCCATAAATAGGTCAAAGAAACATGCAGTACTTGATATTGATCTATAAAGTAAATGATCTGGGCACAGTGGATTTCCCCTAATTTTTTTAGGGGAAAAAAATTAAAATGAGAAATGTGGATGATATAGGAAATTCTGTGCCAAGGAAATGTTATAGCTATCCTGCAATTCATATAGGTGAATGTTACCAGCTATTGAAAGGTTGTTAGTTACTCTTAAGATACTTCTGAATTTTTAAAAATGTTTTAGTTTAGGTAATATTTGTTAAAATTAAAATGTAGTAAAAACCAGTAGTAAAATTCAGATAACCTCCTCTCTCTTTGCTCCTCATCCTACTGCTTCTTAAAAATCAATGACTTTTTAAATTAAGAATGCCAAATAACGTGTTCCTTTTCTTCTCGTTTTACATTATCCCTTGGCCAGAACAGTTAAAAAAGGCTTTATCCTGACATAATTTTTACATTTTTTTGGTCTCTGTCAAAACTCGATATTATATAACAGATTTACAAAGTTAATAAATGGTAGTTGGTAGTCACTAATCACCAGAGAAACACAAATTAAAACCACAATGAGATATCAGCTCACACCTGTCAGAATGGCCATCATCATCAATACATTAAAGAACAAAAGTGTTGACGAGGATGCGGAGAAAAGGAAGCCCTCGTGCTCTGTTGGTGGGATTGCAAATTGGTGCAGCCGCCATAGAAGACAGTTTGGGGGTTCCTCAAAAAATTAAAAATAAAACTACCTTATGACCCAGCAATTCCACTTCCGGGTATTCATCCAAAGAAAACCAACACACTAATTCGAAAAGATCTATGCACCCCTGCGTTCACGGCAGTGCTATCCACAATGGCTAAGACATGCAAGCAACCTAAGTGCCCTACAATAGACAATTGGATAAAGAAGATGTGGTACATATAT